ACTCCAGGGAAAAAGCCCCAGCCTATTCAGCCTCTACCTACAGCTCAAACCCTCCAGCCCTGGCAACATCCTTAATCTTTTCTGAGCTCTTCCAAGATTCACAACATTCTTCCTATAGCAGGGAGGCCAGAATTTGAACGCAGTATTCCAAAAGCGGCCTAACCAATGTCCCATATAGCCACAACATGACCTCCCAACTCCTATACTCAATGCACTGACCAATAAAAGCAAGCGTACCAAACAGCACCTTCACTATCCTGTTTACCTGCCACTCCACTTTTATGTAACTATGAGCCTGTACTTCAAGGCCTCTTTGTTCAGCAACACTCTCCAGGACCTAACCATTTAAATGTATAAGTCCTGCCTTGATTTGCCTTTCCAAAATGCAGCACCTCATTTTTATCTTAATTAAACTCCATCTCTCCCTCCTTGGCCCGTTGGCCCATCTGATCAAGATCCTGGTCTACTCTGAGGTAACCTTCTTTGCTATCCACTACACCTTCAATTTTGGTGTCATCTGCAAACTTATTAACCATACCTCCCATGTTCGCATCCAAATCATTTATATAATTGATGAAAAGCAGTGGACCCAGCACTGATCCTAGTGGCACGCGTCTGGTCACAGGCCTCCAGTCTGAAAAGCAACCCTCCACTACCACCCTCTGTATTCTACCTTCGAGCCAGTTCTGTATCTAAATGGCTAGTTCTCCTTGTATTCCATGTGATCTAATCTTGCTAACGAGTCTACCATGAGGAACCTTATTGAGCGCCTTACTGTAGTCCATATAACTCACATCCACCACTCTGCCCTCATCAATCCTCTTTGTTACTTCTTCAAAAAACTCATAAAATTCGAGAGACATGCTTTGCCACACACAAAGCCATGTTGATTATCCCTAATCAGTCCTTGCCTTTCCACTACATGTAAATCCTGTCGCTCAGGATTCCCCCTGACAACATGTTCACCACCAACATCAGGCTCACCGGTCTACAGTTCCCTGAGTTTTCCTTACCACCTTTCTAAAATAGTGGCACCACGTTAGCCAACCTCAAGTTTTCCAGCACCTCACCTATGACTATCGGTGATACAAATATCTCAGCAAGGGGCTCAGACATCCCTTCCCTAGTTTTCCACAGAGTTCTAGGGTACACCTGATCAGGTACTGGGGATTTATCCACCTTTGTGTTTTAAGATGTCCAACACCACCACCTCTGCAATATGGACATTTTTCAAGATGTTGCTATTTATTTCCCCACGTTCTATATCTTCCCTATCCTTCTCTACAGTAAATGCTGGCAAAATACTCATTTAGTATCTTCCCCCATCTCCTATGGTTACACTCGTAGGTGGCCTTGCTGATCTTTAAGGGGCCCTATTCTCTCCCTTTTGTCCATAATGTATATGTAGAATCCATTTTGGATTCCCTTTAACCCTATTTGCCAAAGTTATCTCATGTCCCCTTTTTGACCTGCTGATTTCCCTCTTAAGTATAATCCTACTGCCCTTATGCTTTCCAGGGATTCACTTGATCTCTGGTGTCTATACCTGACGTATACTTCTTTCTTTTTCTTGACCAAAACCTCAATTTCCCTAGTCATCCGGCATTCCCTATACCTACCAGCCTTGCCCTTCACCCTAACAGGAACATACTGTCTCTGGACTCTTCTTATCTCAGTTTAGAAGCCTTCCCATTTTCCAGCTGTCCCTTTACCTACAAACATCACCCCTAATCAACTTGAAAGCTCTTGCCTTTCTCCAATCTAGAACTTTTTAACTTTTAGATCTGGTCTATCCTTTTCCATCACTGTTTTGAAACTAATAGAACTACAGTCACTGGCCCCAAATGCTCCTCCACTGGCACCTCAGTCACCTGCCCTGCCTTATTTCCCAAGAGTGGGTCAAGTTTTGCAGCACCTCTAGTTGGTAGATCCGCATACTTTTTTTTTGTATTCAATTTTTCTTGTATGCATTTCACAAATTCCTCTCCATCCAAGCCCTTAGCACTAAGGCAGTCCCAGTCAATGTTTAGCAAGTTAAAATCTAGTATCATTACCACCTTATTATTCTTACAGATAAGTGAGATCTCTTCGTTTCTCAATTTTCTGCTGACTATTGGGGGATCTACTGTACAATCTCAATAATGTGATTGTCCCTTTTTTAATTTCTCAGTTCCACCCGTGTAATGTCCCTGGATGTATTCCCAGGAATATCCTCCCCAAGTATAGGTGTAATGTAATCCCTAATCAAAAATGCCACTCTTCCCCAACCCCCCAACTCTCTTGCATGCCCTCTTTCTATCATTCTTAAAGCATCTTTATCCTGGAACATTAAGCTGCCAGTCCTGACCATCTCTGAGCCACATCTCTGTAATTACTATGATATCCCAGTCCCATGTTCCCAACCATGCCCTGAGTTCAATAGAACATAGAACTGTACAGCAGAGTACAGGCCCTTTGGCCCACGATGTTGTGCCGAACTTTTACCCTAAACCTAAGGTCTATCTAACCTCCACCCCTACCTTATACTGTCATCCATATGCCTATCTAATAGCCACTTAAATGCCCCTAATGAGGCTGACTCCACTACCCTCTCCGGCAATGCATTCCACGCTCCTACCACTCTTTGAGCAAAGAACCTACCTCTGACATCTCCCCTATATCTACCTCCACTCACTTTAAAACTATTGCCCCCTCGTAATAGCTACCTCCACCCTAGGAAAAAGTTTCTGGCTGTCCACTCTATCTATACCTCTGTTCATCTGCCTCACCTGTTAGGCCTCTTGCATTGAAATAAATGCAGTTTAATTTATTAGTCCTATCTCATTCTCTGCTTTGTTCCTGCCTGCCCTGACTGTTTGTTTGACTTGCTCCTTTTCCCAACTGTATTAGTCTTAGATTAATCTTTCCTCACTATCTCCCTGATCTCCCCCATTCCCCCAAAATAGTTTAAATCCTCCCAAGCAGCTTTAGCAAATCTCCCTGCCAATGTATTGATCCCCTTCCAATTCAGGTGCAATCCATCCTTCTTATACAGGTCATTTCTACCTCAGAAGACATTCCAATGATCCAAACATGTGAATCTTTCTCCCGTGCACCAGCTCCTCAGCCACGCATTCATCTGCTCTATCCCTACATTCCTACCCACACTAGCTTGTGGTACGGGGAGCAATCCAGACTTTACTACCCCGAAGACCTTTTTAAATTCCTGCCTAACTTCCTGTATCCTCTCCTGAGAACCTTTCTTTTTTTCTCTTCCTATGTTGTTAGTTCCTATGTTGTAAGTTCCAATGTGTACAAGGATTTCCAGCTGGTCCCTCTCCCCTCTAAGAATATTCTGCACTTTCTCCAAGATATCCTTGATCCGGGCACCAGGAAGGCAACACCCCATTCTGATGTCTTGCTGTCAGCCGCAGAAACATCTGTCTGTGCCTCTGACTAGAGAGTCCCCTATCACAATTGATGACACTTGGAACCTGATGTACCACTCATTACATTAGAGCCAGTCTCGATGCCAGAAATATGGCTGTCAGTGTTGCATTCCCCTGAGAGTCCATCAGCCCCTACCTTTTCCAAAACAACATACTTGTTTGAGATGGGGATAGCCACAGGAGACTCCTGAATGACCTGCCTCCCCTTCCTACCTTTCCTGGAGGTAACCCATCTACCTGACTGTGTATCTTTGGTTTATCTCTCTTCCTGCAATTGCCTTCCATCATACCACCTAGCTCCTGTAAATTCCTCATTGCTTCTGTTGCTCCAACTGAAGCATGTGATCTGATAGGATTCGCAGCCAAACACCCTTCCTGCAGACATAATCATCAGTACCATGGAAACTCTCCCTAATCTCCCACATCCGACAGGAAGAGCACATCACTCGACTAAAGGAGATCTTTGCACTTTAACAATCTACAGACTCAGAAAATAGCAGTCTTACTGCTCTAAAAACACTGCTCCAGGCTGACTTAGTACCTATGTTTTTTATATTTTTAAAGTTTAATCAAGAGACATCTCAATTTAAAAAAAAAATAATAAAAAAAAACCCCACTCTACTCACTATTATAGATTTACAAAAAAAAAGGTTACACTTCAAAACTAGCCACTTAGCTGCTTTTCTGCTGTGAGCTCGCCCACGCAGATGTCTCCAAGGTCACCTGTGAATTTCACTGTTTGTTTATTTTTCTTAGATGAATCCAAATGTCCAGAGATACTTCAAATCAAAAGACAGAGATGGTCAGCTGTGCAGATTCATTGCTGGGTCAGACAGTAGTGGAAGTTTATTTCTCTTTTTAATTCACTTCCCATGTCATCATTGCCCTTTGTCTCTCTTACTGCTTTTTAATGTGCTGTTGTTCTGATCTTTCTTTTCCCAAAGTTCCAAAACAATACAATGGCTTGTAAAACAGTAATTATTGCTCTTAGAATTTGAGGAAATCAGCTCCAACATTGAAAGTGCCTCAAAAAAGGAGGAGCTCTGACTGATCATTGAAGAAAATATTTTGGAAAAAAATTGAGATGGTGGGGCTGACAATTGCAGAGAGAGAGGAAATGTGATGAGTATTATGGAGATTGGACTGTTAAGAAGAAGGCAAAAAGGAAGGCCTAGAATCACATGGAAAGATGTGGTGTCAAGAGATTTAGCTGTTGCAAGATTGGAAGAGGAATGGACCACCGACAGGAAGGGATTGAAAAGTGTGACCACAAATAAAATAGAAGTAACAGGAAGAAGATCGAGCAAAAGATTGGTAGTTAGCTCATAAAATGGTGAAATATTTGTGTCCCTTGAAATAAGTTAATGTGTGGTACAAAATTACATTGTTGCAGTTGCAGGAAATTTTCATAGATTACCTACACAATGAGGTAAGGCAGATAGTAGTATTTTGGGAGGTTTGGGAAACAGCTGTGCAAAGTATACATACTTAGCAACACTGAATTGTTTAAGCCCCTGTACAATTTGAATTGCAATTTATTTCAACTGTATGTATCTCTGTGCTTCACTTCAGACTGCCATGAGAGTAATGAAGTTCAGTTCTGAAGAAACTCTGGAGGTGCTGAAGCTGCTTGCTGGAGTGCTACATCTTGGGAATATCGAATTTGTCATTGCTGGAGGGGCGCAAGTTTCCTCAAAAAATGGTAAATATATGTAATTAGATTTCTCACAGAAAAATGATGTTACCTGTGCTGATGGTGTATTATGAATGCGTCAGAAGCACTAATGACCTGTAATCTAGAAATCTCGTGAAAGTGGTGGATTTTGTATTACAATTTCAGGATTTTGGAAATGTCAATAGAAGTATTTGAAATACAATTCTTCATTGTTATGATGAGTTATTATATGTCTTATACTTTGCATATAGTAGATTCAGTTCACAAACCTAATCTTTCTTGACAATGTAAGTTGTAACATTGAGAGACAGCAAGAACTGCAGATGCTGGAATCAGAAATAACAGTGTGGAGCTGGAGGAACGCAGCAGGCCAGGCACCATCAGAGGAGCAGGAAAGTTGACGTTTTGGGTCAGGACCCTTCTTCAGAAATGGAGAAGGGGAACACAGCAGCTCCCTTCCCCCTCCCATTTCTGAAGAAGGACCCCGACCCGAAACGTCAACTTTCCTGCTCCTCTGATGCTGCCTGGCCTACTGTGTTCCTCCAGCTCCACACTGTGTTATATCTAACTTGGAATATTGGTTGATTTATTTTGTTCAATTTATAATTAATGTAAAATATGGACAAAATATGTTGTGATGCAGTAGCCAAAGAGAGCAATAATAATTGTCTTAGCAAAATGAGAAAGTTGGACAAAAACAATTCATTGATCTCGGTATTTCTTCCTCTTCAGCTTTGGGAAGTGCAGCAGAGTTGCTTGGGTTGGACTCTATGAAACTTACAGAAGTGCTGACCCACAGGTCCATGATTCTCAGGGGTGAGGAGATCAGCACACCACTCACGGTACAGCAGGTAAAAATAGGGAGTGCGTTGATAGGTTCATGAACTTATTTAATAGTTAAGTTTATAAAGCTCTGATATATTATTATTATTTGCTTGTAAGTGTTAACAGAGAACTAATTAGCCATAAACAAGGAACCAAGGCATTCGGAATGAGCAATATCACTTTGACCAGTATTTAATGAGGCCTTTTAAGAGAGAGAAATGTGGTAGGCAGGGTAACTTAATTGACTATGAATCAAAATCTTTTCAGAGATAGTAGGAACTGCAGATGCTGGAGAATCTGAGATAACAAAGTGTAGAGCTGGATGAACACAGCAGGCCAAGCAGCATCAGAGGAGCAGGAAGGCTGACGTTTCAGGCCTAGACCCTAGACCCTAGAGCCTTCCTGCTCCTCTGATGCTGCTTGGCCTGTTGTGTTCATCCAGCTCTACACCTTGTTATCCCATGAATCAAAATCTGATTGTTTTTAGATATTGGGTTAAGCCTGTGAGAAAGTGGGTGACATGTCAATGTGGAGTGGCCAACATGCTGCCTGGTGCAGTAGCCCATAGGCCATCCATCCAGATGGATAGTCCAATAGCAGCAAGCACAAGGCTGGAGAATTGCACCCTCAAATGGTGGAGTTGGACTTGCAAGATGGCATGCCTGGTGTTTTGGACCTCAAATGTTCAGCACAGCAGGACAAGGGCTTGTTTAGGTGCTGTTGAAGGGAGTCAGGGAGTCTTTATAGGGTGGGGTCATTTGTTACTACAGTCTTGTGTGTTTGAGAGGCAGCTGTATCAATTATGGCACATCAACATTTAAGAAATGAAGCTTGTGTTTGAAGTACAGCAGATTCACCTGTAGGTCAGCGGTCCCTGAGGGAGAGTCAAGGGAAAGACCATAAGACCTTAAGAAATAGGAACAGGAGTAGGCCGTTCAATTGAATCATGGCTAATCTGACACTCCTCACCTCCGCTTTCCTGTCCTTTCCCAATAACCCTTGATTTCCCTACTGATCAAGAATCTGGTTCACCCTGAACTACACACAAGGACTCTGCCCCCCCATAATGCTTTGTGGCAAGGAATTGCAAAGACACAACCCTCTGAGAGAAGAAATTCATTGTCCAAGTCTTAAATTGGCGCCCCTTAATTCTGAGACTATGCCTTGGTCTTGGATTCTCCCATAATGGGAAACATCCTCTCAGCATTTATCCTGTTAAGCCCCTTAAGAATCCGATATGTCTCAGTGAGATCACCTCGAGTGAGTAGAGTCCCAATCTGTTTAGCCTATGTTCATAGGGAATTATCCTAATGAACCTTCTCTGACTTGCCTACCATTGAAATAATCTTTCAAGTAAGGGGTCCAAAACTGCTGTCAGTACTCCAGATGTGGTCTCACCAGCACCTTTGTAGAGTTCAATAAGATTTCCCTACTCTTTTACCTGAACCCCTTTGAAATAAGGACCAACATAGAACATAGAACTGTACAGCACAGTACAGGCCTCTTGGCCCACGATGTTGTGCCGAAATTTTACCCTAATCCTAAGGTCTATCTAACCGCCAGCTCTACCTTATACTGTCATCCATATGCCTATCTAATAGTTGCTTAAATGCCCCTAATGAGGCCGACTCCACTACCCTCTCCAGCAATGCATTCCACGTCCCGACCACTCTCTGAGTAAAAGAACCTACCTCTGACGTCTCCACTCACTTTAAAACTATGCCCCCTCGTTATAGCTACCTCCACCCTAGGAAAAAGTCTCTGGCTGTCCACTGTATCTATGCCTCTGATCATTTTGTACACGTCTAACAAGTCACCTCTCATCCTTCGTCGTTCTAAAGAGAAAAGCCCTAGCTCTCTCAATCTTTCCTCGTAAGACCTTCTCTCCATTCCAGGCAACATCCTGGTAAATCTTCTCTGCACCTTTTCCAACATTTCCACATCTTTCCTGTAATGAGGCGACCAGAACTGGACACAATACTCCAGATGTGGCCGAACCAGGCTTTTGAATAGCTGGAGCATAACTTCACGGCTTTTGAACTGAGTCCCACTATTAATGAAAGCTAACACACCATACGCCTTCGAAACAGCTCTATCCACCTGGGTGGCAGCTTTCAGGGAACTGTGGACATGAACCCCAAGATCCCTCTGCTCCTCCACACTGCCAAGAATCTTTCTGTTAACCCTGTATTCTGCTTTCAAGTTTGTCCTTCCAAAATGAATCACCTCACACTTTTCAAGGTTAAACTCCATCTGCCACTTCTCAGCCCAGCTCTGCATCCTATCAATGTCTCTTTGTAACCTAGAACAGCCCTCCGCACTATCCACAACTCAATCCACCTTCGAATCGTCTGCGAACTTACTGATCCACCCTTCCACTCCTACATCCAAATCATTCACAAAAATCACGAACAGAAGAGGACCCAGAACAGATCCTTGTGGTACACCACTCGTAACTGAGCACCATGTTGAATATTTTCCGTCCACTACCACCCTTTGTCTTCTAAGGGTCAGCCAATGCCCGAATGTATTAGTTCCTTCCTGGCTTGCGCTCTCTCCACACGCCCCGCTGCTCGAAACAAGTAGGCCGCTGCTGCACGAGGTATGTTTTTAAAAGGAAAATAATTCCTTACCTTCCTGTCGGCACCCTGGCTTGCACTCCCGCTGCTCCAAACAAGAAGCAAGAAACAAGAAAAATTCCATTAGTCTTCCCAATTTTCTGTTGCACCTGTGTGTTAGCCTTCTGTTTCGTGCATATATACCATCAAATCACTTTGTACTGTAGCTTTCTGCAGCTTTTCTCCATTTAAATAAGTGTTCTTTTGTTTTCCCTTCCAAAATGAACACCTTCACATTTTCCCATATTATACTCCATTTGCCGATGTTTGGCTAACCTATCAATATTTCTCTAAACTGTTTGTATCCCCCTCGCAACCTGCCTTTCCACCTATTTTTGTGTCGTCTGCAAAATGACTACAGTACATTTGCTTCATTCCTCCAAGTCATTAATATGTATTGTAAACAGTTGCAGATACATTAACCCCTACTGGTCACAGGTTGCTAAGCTGAAGAAGAACCCAGTGTACCCACTCGCCATTTCCTGCCCACTGTAAGATACCTTGTCGAAAGTCTTTTGGAAGGCATCCAAATACAATGCATTTACTGGTTCCCCTCTATCCATTCTGGTTGAGACTTACTCAAAAACTCTAAATTAGTCCGACACGATTTCCCTTTTATGAAACCGTGCTGACTCTGTTTGATTAGATTATGATTTACCAAAAGTTTTACGATTATTTCCTTAATCGTTTCTTCCAGTACTTTTCCAACAATGGAATACAGGCTAATTAGCTTATATTTACCAGCTTCTTGTCTCTCTCCCTTTTTTTTGAATAAGGATGTTTTCCATTGGCAGTTTTCCAATTCTCTGGTACTTCTTCAGAATCCAAGGATTTTTGGAAAATTACAACCAATCCATCCACTATCTCTATAGCTATCTGTTTCTAGGATCCTAGCATGTAAGCCATCAGGGCCAGGAAACTTATGTGCCTTTAGCTCTATTAGGTTGTCAAATAGTACTAGTCCGGTGGTGGTACTTAATTTCTACCCTATATTTTTTAGTATTAATGGAATGTCCAAAATATCTTCCACTGTAAAGACTGATGCAAAATATCTGTTTAACTCCTCTGCCATTTCCTTGTTCCCCATATCTTGGCTCCCTGCATTTATTTTCTAAGGGGCCGATGTTCTCTTTGAATTCTCTCTCTTTCTATGTCCTAAGTACCTCTTATTGTTAGTTTTCATATTCCTTGTTACTTTGCCCTTGTAGTTTATTTTCTCTCTCTTTATTATCCCTTTAATCCTCCTTTGGATTCTGAATTTATCCCAGTCTTTGGGGCTTTCATTGACTTTTTCCCCGTATATACCTTTTCTTTCAACCTAATACTGTCCTTATTAACTTGCTAGGTTACCCATAGTTGGCTTATCCCTCCCTGAGAATCTTTCCTCTTTACTGGGATGTATTTTTACTGAGAGTCATGAATTAGCTGCTTTAAAATCTGCCACTGCTTGTTTCTTGTCATTCCTGCAAATCTATCCATCCAGTTCACTTTAATTAACTTTATCCTCATTTCATTGTAATTCCCTTTTATTTAAGTTAAACAAAGTTGTTTCTGACACGTTTCTCACTTTTGAACATTTAAATTCATAATTTAAGCCCAATAGAACCTCCAATACCTCCCCATTTCCTTTTGTCAAGCCATGCAATTTCTTCACAGTCCCTTTTCCCTTAATAAGTGACGAGAGTAAACAATCCTCAAGTAGAGGTCATAACATCGAGTCCTAGAGATGTACAGTACAGAAACAGTCCCTTCAGTCCAACTCATGCATGCCGATCAGATATCCTTAATGAATCTAGTCCCATTTGCCAGCATTTGGCCCATATCCCTCTGAAGCATTCCTACTCACAATCAACATTTAAAAGGCATCTGGATGAGTAATTGTACCAGCCTCCACCGCTTCCTCTGGCAGCTTGTTCCATACACCCGCCACCCTCTGCGTGAAAAAGTTGCCCTTTAGGTCCCATTTTAAATCTTTGCCGTCTCACTTTAGGGTAAATAGATAAGGTCTTTTCCCCAGGGTGGGAAGAGTCCAAAACTAGAGTGCATAGTTATAAGGTACAAATTATTGGAGTTTAAATCATGGAATTCCTACAGTGTGGAAACAGGCCATGCAACCCAACAAGTCCACACTGACCCTCTGAAGAGCACCTCACCTAGATTCCTCCCCCTCCCCTTTCCCTGTAACCCTGCATTTCCCATGGCTAACACTCCTAACCGACATATCCCTGCACACTGTGGGCAATTTAGTATGGCCAGTTCCCCAAGCCTGTACATCTTTGGACTGTGGGAAGAAACCGGAGCACCCAGCAGAAACCCACGCAGCCACGGGGAGAACATGCAAACTCCACACAGACAGTTGCCCGATGGTGGAATCAAACCTGGGTCTCTAACGCTATAAGGCAGCAGTG